CTCTCGTTTAAGAGTGTGATAGATCCATGCTCCTTGGCAAAGTTCAGGTCGGTGGTATGAATGCATCTTATAAAAAATACTTAATGATAACCTAATATTACATAGTATTTATTTATGCAATTAATTGATGGTAACAAAAACATCCCAGGCTACCGTATTATTGTACTCTCTTCATATCATCATAATTGATTGCTTTTCATCATTCTAAACGTTGATCGATTACTTTTCATTGTTCTCCTCCTTTTAGTTTTTTTTTTTTTTCTTGTGGAGCACATATTGTATTCTTCTTTTTTTCTTAATAGAAGTTATTATTATTATTATTTTGCTTGTAAAAGAAAACTATATTGTGGTTGTTTCTTTTGTAGGGCTAAATCCCATTAGGGCGGCTCGATCGAGGTCTGTCGGCTTGGGTTGAGACCATGTCTGGACCGGCTTAAAGGTTACCGGGTTGAGCCGGCCCATGTCATCGAATTTATTTCCATTATTCACATTGGATCCTCCCCAGTTGGTAACGCCGACTCCCAAACGCTCCGCCGCGAGCAAAACCCTTGCCCAGACCATACCCCCATTTCTCTCTCCCTCTACCCCCGCTGTCTTCGAGGACGCCATGCCCGCCGGAGCGCTCTAAGGCCGATGGCCTCCGGCGCCGCGTCGATTCGCTACGGCGGCGCGGCCTCCGTGGGGGGCACAGCCGACGCCCTCAACCGCATCCTGGCCGACCTCTGCACGAGGGGCACCCCAAAGGTCCCAACCCTCCGCTCCGAATCCCTAGCTTCCTCCTTGCGTCTCCCTTCCCCTTGAATCTCCATTGCCTGGTCGATTCTTTCCATCAGGATTCGAAATTGTTTTGTGCTTATGATATGATGTAGGAGTTGTTTTCTGCTACTGCTGGACTTCCTTTCGATTGGTTGCATGCGAACTGTCGACGGGGATCTCGTTTTTTCTTCTTTAATTTGCTTTAGGTTAGAGGTTAGGTAGCTGAACCTTTGGGCTTCTTTCTTCTATGTAATTTCTATTCCGTGCCAAAGATTCATCTCGTTGACTGTGAAGATCTTCCCAGTGAAAGATGTTGTACATAGTTGACCACTGACCGTGTAACAATGTGCTATCTCTAGGATTTGAACAAATAAGATTTGAAGCCTCCTTTTGATGCTGCCTTCCACAGTAAACTTGAATACACAGAAGTTTCTACCATTTATGATCACTTTTCTTTTTATCAGTTACCGCTAACTGATATCAATTACTTATTCTGATCTCAGTTATCTTTTGAACTTTTTGTATATGTTCTTTGAGCCATTCTTCTTGTTGGATATAGGATGGCGCTGCAGTTTCCCTGAAGAAACATGTTGAGGAAGCAGCTCGTGATCTTGGTGGAGAAGCTTTTTCTCGTTGCATGGATCACTTTTATGATAAGATTGCTAATCTTTTAGAGAGCAATGAAGTTGCTGACAATTTAGGGGCTCTGCGGGCCATAAATGAGTTGATTGACGTGGCGTTAGGAGAAAGCGCGTCCAAGGTTTCAAAGCTCTCTGGTTATATGCGGACTTTATTTGAAGTTAAGCGTGATCCAGAAGTCCTGGTACTCGCCAGTGAGGTACTAGGCCACCTAGTGAGGGCCGGAGGGGCAATGACGGCAGATGAAGTAGAGCGACAGGTTTGGTTCTCCGTCTAGTTTATTGAAAACCTATGTTAGATGGCTTTACTGACAATCTTTTCTTTCTTTTCAGATAAAAAATGCTTTGGACTGGCTTCATGGAGAAAGGATAGAATATCGTCGTTTTGCTGCTGTTCTGATTCTTAAAGTAATTGCAATTTTACTTATAGCATCATTCAATTGCTAATTTCATATATTTTTTTATTTGTAGTCTTACATATAGAAAGTTTTAAATTTGGTGAAGGATTATAAGCATGTTCATGTATCCTAAACTTGTTTACCCTTGAAATTCTTTTTGTAACAATTGCCAACATATCATTATGCTATAGTCCAATGCTAGTAACACATTATTGTTAATGTTGTACAGTTTTGGTTCTATTTATTATATACTTTCCATATGCGGGTAAATGGAGTGCTCTTCTTGACAATACTAGTCATTTTTGATAGATTTCTGTTTATAGTAAAAAAATTGTATTAAAGTTGTTTCCAAACATATTTACCATTTTATTTTAATGAAGTCCTTCATTTGTTTTTAACGGAAGGTGTTACCTCAAGACCCTGCTAGATTCTCTTTGGTTTGGGGAGACATTCCTGTTTGATGAATGTGTTCTTTTCCTGCTTTTAAATAGGAAATGGCTGAAAATGCATCCACTGTTTTCAATGTTCATGTGCCGGAATTTGTGGATGCTATATGGGTAGCATTAAGGGACCCCACTTTGGCTGTTCGGGAACGAGCTGTAGAAGCTTTGCGGGCATGCCTTCGTGTTATTGAGAAGCGTGAGACACGCTGGCGAGTGCAATGGTATGTTAATCCATGTTTCCATTGTACATTTTTCCATTTAAAATAATATCATTTTATTCATGTTGGTGCTACTTAGAGTAAATGGATTTTCACGTTCATCATTTTCATATGTTATGAAATGAAAATGACCTGCTATGCTGTGATGAATGACACAGAGTGAAGTGCTTTACATTTGGTGTTTGTTGTCTTATATTTGTATCATGATTTCTTTATTTTTCTTCACTGTTATATGATGATTCATCACAATTGATTACTGTCCAAATGATAGTAGATAGAATTGCGATCATTGGATACACTTGCTTTTCGTGTAAACAAATTAGATTGATTAGCAATACTTACAACAAACTTGTATTAACCATATATTCAAAAGATTAAGTTGCCAAAATTGTCACAATACTCAACTAGTATGACTGTGGAAGCAATTCTACGTAGGGTCATAGTGGTTATTCCTGATGCTTTGTGCGGTTAAATATGCAGTTTTTCTCTGACTTTACAAATGCTATCAACTCGATAATGAGCATGTTCACAATATGTTGCAATTGTGTGGTTACTGAATTAAAGCAGCAATGAGAGCACCCTAAGTAGCATCAAGTGCAATCAAAGTAGCACCGATACCATTCATCAGATATTTTACACAGGTCATCTGTATTTTTCTTGTCCGAAGAGCTTTTCCAAACATTTATTGTTCTTATTGTTGAAAAAGTTTCTAAAGCTTTAATACAACAGTGTGACAAGTGAACCTGAAATGTGGTAGAAGCCGCTTAAGGTGCAAAAAGAAGTTAACTGTTTTATGTTGGTTATTGAATAAGCTTAGGTTATAGGGGTGATAAGTGTCATTCCTATTGGATATAGAAAAGGTTTAAAAGTACAAGTTCTGAGGAAGCAGTTTATACTTAATCCAGATGTGGCTTATGGAAATGGACTCGAAGAAGTTCCATCATATTAAGGATGTTAAAGGACTTGTATTGGTTAGGTTGAAGCATGATTGGTAGAAAGTGCTGACTTATGATGCGATAAGGGAAAATAAGCATGAAGACTAGAACATCTAATACAAAAACAATGAGAATCCTTAAGGTCCCAACTATTGGATGTGGCTATATGGATGTTTTCCTGATATCAAATTCTGTTGAGGGCAATATAATTGGTACAGACAGTTTCTCATTTGTAAACTTCTAAGTTATGCAAGAAATTGTTTGAGAAAATAAATCGCCCTGAGATTTGGACTAGTTACCGTTGATTTATTACCCTAAGGAACAATTGCAAATGACCATAAGAATTACATTGTCACATCATGTTTCCCGACTAAATAATGGATAACCTTCAGTGTATCCTTGATTTCATGGATTAAATGCTTCCCAGTCCAACAAAATCAAGTTAAAGGCCTTGAGATTGAGCTCTAGGCTGTAATGGAAATCTCGGCAATTGGTTGCATGAGGATCATGTGATTGATGTTTAGCAGCCAAGGCTCTATTGAACTCAAAAGATGGTGAATTAAGAAAATAAATTCTATGTTGCTAATGGCTTTTCTTGAATATGACTCATTAGGGCATCATCTAGAAGCTGTTGCATCCAGTCCTTTATTATAACTCAAAATGGAAGTGTAAATTTCGTTCCCGAAACCATGACAAGTGGACTTTAGAAATTTCCGTGAGTTTCATTCAAAGAGGTTGTCATGCTGTTTTGTATTTACTTAGGAGTACTGTTTGTATTATAATTGTTATCTTTAAAATAATTGAAATCAGCAGGCATGAACCACAACGACAATACTATGCCATTCTCTTGCCAAATTTATTGATGCATGGAGGAGGTTGTGAAGCCTCTCATGCTATGGACTTCACTTAAATACAATGACAGTTATTTTTCCAACTATTTAGTGTTGTCACAATTCCATTGCTACAGGCCTCTAGGAAAGCAGTATTGGTATTGACTAGAGGTCTGCAAATTATTTCTTATTTATTCTGGAATAATCTTCCTTAGTGTCTCTAGTTATTTACTTATTCTGCTAATTCGGACTAGCTTATCTGACCTTATTGGGTTGTGTGTGTGTGTTTTTTCTTTTTAAATTCTTTAGTGGTTCTTTATGAAAGTAAGCATTCTTTAATTTGTCTTTTACAACAGTATCACTGTTTATATGGACATCCTTATATGTAAGTCACTAAATTTTTTTGATATGGTAACCTATGGAATCCTAGTATTCTGAACTTATAAATTAAGATGACATTATAATTGCCCTATATAATTTTGATTCGAAACAATTCATATGCCCCTCTCCAATTTTACCATCATGCTTTGATTGTAAGAGCA